TTATGAAGAGAAATAAAATAAACAACATTTGCCTGAGCATTACATCCAAATTACTTTAAAATTTTGAAATAAAAACGATTTTTAATTTTTGTTTGGCTTAGCAAAATGACTTCAAAATTTATAGGCATGTACCTCACATCATAGAGAACTCACAGAAAAAAAATCAAAAAAAAAAAAAGCTTACTTTTAGGCCCCGAAATATTTTTGGGCAGGGGCCAAACGTCGACGGGTTCGGACCCTGTACGGGACCCCGAACGCCCGTACGTATGGAGGTGGGCCCGGGGACCTCCGTACGTACAGGCTGGTGACCCTGATTATAATAAATTTGGACCATTTCTGGATTTATGCGTGTCATCCTTGCGCAGGGCCCATGCTAAACTTCTCTGTATCTTTCCAACTTTAACGGATGTCCCGAAAGGACATGTTCCCGTATAATTAATTTAGTCATTCGACTCGTTTTCGGCAAAAGTTGCATCAGCATTATCTGTTGATATCATCACCAAGGTCAGTCTCATCTCGACTCTCACATCAGACCGTACCGCATTTTCTCTTGTCGTCTGCAAGATACCGTTCTTCTTCGTTTTGCCGTCAGCATTATCTGTTGGTGTCATCACCATGGCCAGTCCCATGCTCTTTGACGGCTGTCATTTGGGTGCGCAAACTTCAGACGCAAGGTAGGCATAGTGCTATGCCCGCCACAGTGTCGGCCAGTTACTGACTAAGAGCACAAATCAAATGCGAAAACGAACGAAGCAGAGGTAGAGAATATCAGCTTCGCTCACCATGTAGCGAAGGTCTCGGATGAAAGCAGTACGCCGCCGTTGACGAGGATCATATGCGAAGAGGTGATTCAAAAGGCTAGCTGGAGTGGCAACAACAAGGTCGGGAGGCATCGCCGGGAAACCCTGCAAGGCACAGAAAAAACACGAGGACCAAACTCCCATTCAAGAAAGGCAATAACACCAACAACAGGAGCAAGCAACAGATTCCCCATGGGAGTCGTGTCAGCCAACTCCAGGGGCTCAGGTGGTCCCCACCTGTCAGACTGTCACTGAACTCTCGCCCAGTTACCAAGCAGATCAGGTTCACATCTTCCGTCTAGTTTGCAAAGTAAAATTTCAAGAAAAGGCAACGGCCAGATCCCAATCATCACACAACCCCAAGTTGATCAACCAAGGTCAGCTCAGAAGCCATCTATCACC